AGATGTCGGCCAAGTGCTCAAGTGCCCAGCAGTTCCACGCTAGAATAATCTCTGTTTATTCACTCCAAATGATTACAGATTCGTTTAGAGTGGATGAATGCAGCAACCTGGATACAGTTTGGTCACTGTAGGACACCTTAAAGCGCTGCTCACAATTGTAATGCTTTCTAAAAAAAAGACAGTGGGCGTACAGACGTATGCTGGCGCCACACACAGGGAGGGATAACATTCGTGAAACAGTTAGTTTATCATCATTCATCTCAGTAGTAATTCCTGTTATTATGAATTGCACCACTTCGGAAGAAGCACCAGGTGCTTACCTGGTGTCTGCGGAGATTTCAAAAATTGCTGCATAGTCGCATGAATAGAGTGCAGTCTTTAGGAATGAGCCAGAAGATTGATGCGCGTAAGTAATAAATCAAGTAGCTTCGCATCCGCTTTCTCTTCAAGGCTTGTCCCTTCGTATCCAAAGAATTAAGTGATGTTTGACACATAATTTAATATATGTCAATGACGCCGCATTCAATATTATGCAAATTGTCTATAACAGGGGAGGGGCGGTAATGTTAAAAGTAAGACATTTTGTCTCCAGAACTCAATGGAGATTATACACTCTTGCCAGCCTCAGCGTATGCTCAACTTGAATTGGAAAAGAGGCGCATTTCATTCCATATGAAAATCTTCATAGTGGCCATCTACGTGGACGGCATCAGAAGTTTGCCCGGAAACATGGTGCTCTGGTCGAGCTCAATGGGGTTCTCGACTGATCGTGTACCGTTACGACGGGTTCCGAAGGGCGGGTTCCGAGGGGGTTTGCATAGTTAGAGCTAATGTCCCTAGGAAACTATCCCACGTTGAATCGATCCAAGAAATTATGTAAGAGCTTCAGGCTGAAGCAGTTACTGTAGGCCTCCCTGAGCTCGACGACGGTGACAGATGACGTCATATCTGGAAGACGGTGAGAGAGATAGTGCAAGGAGGGTATGACGTTTCTTAGAGAGGACATTTAAGGACAGTGCCTGGAGGAACTTCCGTTCAACGACGGCAATCTCTGCGAAGAAAAAAAAGCCGAAGTGCGACCTAGACAAAATGTCCTTTTTTGGCCCTCCCCTGTATATTAGGTTGTCCCATAAGTTCGTGCTCCTTTTTTTGCACCTCACGCCAAAACTACATTTAGCGATTTCTGAATATGAGCAAGTAAGCTACGAAAAGCCCATTTCGTGGAGTAACCTATACGTGAACCATGTCCAAATTAGCTGCTTTCTTCGAAGTTAAAACCGAAAACGACGAGAACAATGTTTTTCACAGTTTGAATTAGGGACTTCTGCTGAGCCAATATCGGTCTTCAGAAACTCATGAGTTTCGTGATTGTTTGTGTACACCTTTCGTGTCATTTGCCATGAGTATCAAAATTGGTAGCAATCTGCGTCTCTCCGAGATACAGCTCAGAGAAATCCTGACTTGTGGAAGCAATCCGTGTCGATGTTGGAACGTGCTTGTGCTGCCCTCCATTTGAAGACCTACCGCACGAGTACTATAGATTGCTATGTGACGCACAATTATGTGTTAACGTTCCAGAGTTTACCACGAACTGATGAGGTTAGACTTCTCTGGAAAATTATAGAGACTTGGACAAAGAAATCCCCATGAATTGACCGTTAATCACAAGAGTGCAACACGAGTTCTGTCAACATCTTCTAACCTATTCCATCCCTACGCGGTGGCTGAACAACGGCGCTACTGCTGATGAGAAGTGGTTGTTCTATGCTATAGACCTGCGGAAGCATCAGGCGGCTAGATTGATCAAAAGTTTGCTTAGAAACTGGTATGAGAACAGCAAAGGTTGGGCTCAGTTTAATAGTGGGAGCAATAATCTCGAGAGAAAAACACCGGAGAAAATTTCCACAGCTTCGCCTTGTAACAGCCATATGGTTTTCTCCTCAATGCAAGCTCGAACAGGTCAGAAAACTTCCAAGTTATCACGCCAAAATATTAAACTTAACGTCGCTCCCGACAACGGACACTGTTCGAAATATGGCCGCTATGAATTTCCGGAGAATCTAGTTAAGAAGTATGCAAACAAGATTACGCATCGTACAGCAGTCGTGAAACAGCCCCCCGAAGGCCAATATTCATTTGCTAAACAGTCATTTACTGTGACGAAAAATACGACTCAAAAAAGGAGCTCGAAATCGCCTCACTACCTTTTCCAGCTTGAAACTGCCGAACTTCTAGGAGCACGTCGTCGATACTCGTGGTTCGTTGGCAACAAGCCACTGATAGCAACGGTCAACATGTTGATGATGGATTGCTTTTTGTTGAGATAACGTTAACTCAAAAAAGCCTCGAATAGGTTGGCACGAACTTTGGGAAATATCCATACATACTGTTATTAGGCGCCAATGTTCACTCTTCCATCCTGGGGCCCCTCCATCCCAATGGTGATGATTGGTCCGATATACGCCGGCAGATGGCGCATACTGGATACAAGTTCTGAATATGCATTCTGAAAACCGATAGCATTTCTGAGTAGAATGACTCTGCCCTTGATTGGCTTTGACACATGCGCCGTCTCCTCTCTCCATTTGCGCCACCGCACCTCCAACACAGTAGCTGAGGTCTTACAGAGCAAAGGTGGCATCCATGACGACCTTGAAAACAATCAGTGAACGGAATGATACAGAAGCAGAACGTGGGAAGAACTTTATCAAATTTATTCTATTGGAACAAGGTAAAAACGTATCAACTTTAAAAACAAAGAAGGTAGGTAAAAAAAAACAAGGGTAAGGATTGATAAGAGGATCCATAGAATCCAAGCAAAAAGCAAGTCGTAAAATACTTTAAATTTAACAATTATAGATTCTGACGTCACATAGCAGGCCAGTGGCCTCAAATAGAGCTCACCACAGATTGGTGAACTAGTTCCCTATAATAATAGTAGGCGCGGTTCTAAAAAACCCAAAGAAGGCACAGCACATTGCGCCCACAAAGTCGAGCTTGAAAAGGCTATACAACACAGCACTACATGGTCACCCTAAAACTTTGGTGAATCTAAACGAGTTCGGTTACCGAAATGGAAGGCATGGTTGGTGAGATTTGTTTGTGAAATTGAAGGCATGGTAGGTAAGATTTGTTCTAAGATATGATCCACGGACTACACAAATGGTGGGCGACACCAATTGCCACTTCATCACATCCACCTCTTTAACACATTCACGACGACGCCCCTTTTCCACTTTTCGGTCGCGTGGGACGGACGCGATTTTGTGGGCGCCGCCGCCTCACCACATACCGCAGATTTTGTTTTGTAAATGAACAAAAACATGAATGTCACAAAATAATTTCTGCAATGTCCAATGCGTAAAGATTATCTAAACATATAACAGTAGGATTTCGATCAGAACGACAAATAGTGGTTACGAAAAGAGAGCATTTATTCACTTTCCCCGTGAAGGAATTTAAAAGCATTTTACACTCGATTACGAGGTTTGCCCACCTATCTGTCCATTCCTAGCGCCTGGCAAGCGATTATCAGTTGGCAGCCCATATGGGCTGCCATCGTCCCAGGAGCGCATGTTGTTGGCAGCCCATATGGGCGGCCATCGGCGTGAATGTGTTAATCAAAGGAATTTTTGGAGGGAATTTGCTGCACAGGTGAATCAATTTAAGACAAATTGGCGGAGTCGCACGAACTGCGCTTTGTCAAGTGTGAGTAACCCCATGAACAATTTTTGGAATTCCCATATAGATATTGAAATGGCCGGGGGCGGGCTTCGTTCAACCTTCCCTAATCACGGATAGAATGTGCAAATGTGCGAGACTGACTCCGGAAGAAGTGCGTGCATGGTTGCGCCTATGGAGGTCTATACCCCTGTACTTGTTTGAAGACGTAAGCATCTGGGCGACTTGGGCGCAAACGCTTGAAAGAGCTCCTAAATGTTGGCGAACCAGCTAGAAAAGAGGGGATAATGTTGGCTGTCAAATTTCTACACTGGCTCATTCTGTGCGAAGGTCAATTGAAAAGTGTCAAAGCCAGAACTGGACAGACTCTTTCCAATCGGGGACGTCCAATTCGGCTTTTTATATTTTCGCAAGTACCGGTGTTTATGGCCAAATGCGTGTTCAACAGGACACCTATATCGTCAAGGCCTCTCCTGTCGCATGATCCTAGGAACGGTCTTCACCAATGTCAGAAATGGGGTATCGCGAGCAGGTGTATTTATCTTGGTTTGGCTTATAGTCATAATAATTGATCTCCCTGGCTTGCATCATCAGGTCTTGCCCAGAAAATGTACTGCGGGTCGATGAACTTTCTCAAAATTTCCGAAAAATGGAATATGGATGGAATATAAAAGTGCAATACTACAATGTAGCCCAAGGAATGAATCGCGATAGAATAGTGTGATAGTATATTAGTGAATAGAATGTTAGTTTTCGAAAAAGAGGACAATCACTAAACTTTTTATACTATTTTGTTAGAGAAATATTTGAAGTTTCTGAAACTTTTTACAGATTTCCAAAATGTCGCATACGAAAGATTTTATGGGCCTTCAAAGTTGAAGGTGCGCCTTCTTAGAATTTTGGGTTTTCCACTTCTAACAGAAGTACTTTCCGGAGAGTTAGGCAATCCTTGTAGTTTTCTGGAAGCGCACCTCAGGCACAATCAAAATCTACCTCAACAAGTCAAAAAATACGTCCCAAGAAAGTTATTCCCTCTAAATTTTTTCTTCGCCGCGTCCCGTTCTTCCAGCGCCCGGGTGATACCTGCCGCGCTCCAAGGCCGACGCGACGACGCGCAGACGCTTTCTGGCGCAACGGATTCATGTCTAGCACTCTTATTAACAAAAACAGGGGGTCGCAACTGGACCCCCTCGAGAGCTAGGGGGTCGCAAAAATCCCGAAAATGTTCGAACGTGACGGTTGACCCTTTGAGTATTGCGAGCTCTCTTTTCTGCGTTAAACCAATCCAAAATAGGCGGTCGGACTCGTTGTCAGGGCTCATGAGCCTTTCCGGGTCTGTAAGGTAAACCCCCAGCTCCCCTGTCACACATCTTTCAAACACGCCATCGGCGCAAAACTTGCGTACTCAAAGCAGTCTAGGTTTTATAAAAGGAGGCTCTCATACAGTTTATTAAGGACTGCGCTTGTATACCGGCCGGAAGTGGTGCAGTAGCAAGTTGCGTTGCTTACCATGTGCGCGGTTCTGGCAAGAAATTGTGACTCGTACGTCGTCCAAGCCAACCGGCCTTTCATCTCTCCGGGCTCGGATTTAATTGGTGCCAGACTTGTGTGCAAGAATGAAAACATTGATTTGTACACGAATGGCCGCCGAAATCCATTATATGGGCCAAACTGCATTTAGAATGCCACTCTGATTATAAATGGAAGTAGAACGCGTGGCGCATCCACAGAAGGATTGAGCAGCGCCGATTGCGTTATGATTTGTAATATCTTGTAACCCGTGAGTAAACTTGGTGATAATTCTTATTGTAGTAGTATTTTGCTTTTGTCAAGATTTCAAGGTCGCTCTTTCAGTCCGGGTGTCATCGTCACGGAAGTGCATAAGCGATCTGGTATGAGTGACAGCGCTTATGAAGGGGTAATCCTTTTCTGACTTTCTTCTCTTCTTTTCCCCACGAATTTCCGTAACTACTCTGCTTTTTTTTCAGTTCCTCGAAAGAAGTAAAACTACTCATGCTCTTGGACGTGTAGGAGAACCATCTGAAGTAGCTGAAGCTGTGTTGTTCCTCGCTTCGGAGAAGAGTTCATTCACTACTGGCCAGCTGTTGAAGGTGGATGGCGGCAGAGGAATTATGCATCCTCGTTGATTTCCCTTATATTTTACAGGGGTAGGGGACCTTAAAATGTAGACCTTTACTC